AGTTTAAGTGCCATCAAAGAAAAGAAATTTTAATATTCAAAAATAATAATTTTTAAAGGATTTTCGTTTCTTTTGTTTATAACAATTAAAGGAAATATTTGCCATAAAATAATTTCTGAAAGTACCTTTCTAAGTTCGAGTTATTAATGATTTAAGATTCTGTTAAGAATTTATAACCAAATTTTCATTCTTAAATATCTTTTAGTAGTTATAAAACAATATATTGTATGTTTTAAAAATAACTTTTGCAATAACTGTGACCATAATATTCGAAAAACGCTATTTGCCTAGTATCCAAGTGTTGGCGGAATATTTAAATGCATTTCTTTCAATAATATTTTTTATTTCATCGTAAGACTTTAAAGAACATATTTAAGTCAAGTAACTACACCGTTAAGTACCTCTTTATCTACTGTTTTGCTTAGGAAAGTTAAATTTTTATGGCTTAAATATTCTAAACAGTAATTTTATGATAAGTCCATAATACTTAACCAAATTATATATAAGTATTTAAATAAGGCAAACTTTCACGCATGAACTTACTTAATATCTTAGTTTGCCCTAACAAACAATTTTTGAGCTTTAGCTAAAAGCAACACTCCCCTCCAAATACTGCACACTGGCTTTCTACAAAAGTGTACAGCAAGTACAATTAGTGATAAGTGCTCCTTTAAAGTAATATATAGGCTGATGATATAGACTTCTTTTACGTGTTATTCTTACCACTTCAAATAACTTTTTGCGTAGTCCAACGCCACATCCATATCTGTGACTTAACCAGTGTAGTCATTGGATATGTGTTAGGTTATGTTATTCTGGCAGGTTATAAGCCACGCATAAATCTTTTGACATCTAGCGATGGCAAATAGAGTTAAGCCTCTAAATTGATTTTGTGGTTTATACTTTTGCAAGTTCAAGTAAAACTTATTTTGGACACAGCGTGACATTTTTTTTAAATTTTTATAAACTATGTTTTCAGATCACACTTTAGTGGAGGGTGAACTCAGACCTATTGGGCCATAGTTGTAATATATGCAACGTGTCCACAGAGCGATTCACTTGTAGTAAATTTAAACAAAACAATGTTAATGTAGTGATAAGGCATATACAGCTCGACGTTCGTTACGGTATGGTAGACTTCGGTAGAATTCGCGAACTTATATAGGACCAAATAACTAACTAAGAACATTTTTATAGAATACTGCCTGTGCTGCTTTATTATGCCTCTGTAATAGCATCTATACGTCTGCTTCATATATATGCTATTATATAGATGAATAAATTTAAAAGAACTGCTGTAAATACCTTCATGAATACTTGGCAGTAGTATTGTATTTAGGATTTCTATATAATCTATATAATTAAATATAAGTAAATCGAATAGTGAATTAGAGATAGTTTTGAAGTGATGATGAGTTCTTGACTATACACGAAACAGCGTGGTATGGTCAGCCAAATTTCAACTAAACTAAAATTTTTATTGTTGTCTTTTCACTTCTATTCGAATCCTTCTAACTTTAGTTTTTTTTTTCTTCATAAAACGCGTCATTTTCAGCGAAAAGAATTAATTAACCATAAAAAAATAGAAGTCTTAATGTTTAAAGTTATATTGGATACTTTATTGTTTTTGTACAATACTACTATATATATAAAAAAATATACCCACTTCCAGTTAAAACACAACTTTATCCCCCGCTCTCTCCATGGCTCTAGAAGACAAATATTGCATTGTACGATTGGCTAGAGGATTTAACTCCATAATATGGTAACTGTTTTTTATATATGATGCTATCAATATTTGTGAGTGTTTAACGTTTTTGTAACTTATGCTTCTAAGATAAGATACTAAGAAACATATAATATGGATAACAAAGGTGGTCCCGGTGGAAGATATCGCGTAAAAAAAGAGTTGGTGTTTTAGTTCGTACACTACACAGTAAGAGTCAGACACACTATTCCGGTAGCGATCGGTTTGACATAAAGCATTACACCTTATCTTCCACACAAACAAAAAAAAAACAAAAAAAAGATATCGCTAGGATAAAAGATTCATTATATTATTCGACACTTTATAGCTAACTGATTCATTAAAAAATATCAAAATAGTAAATCAAACTCTTGAAAATTGGGACTTTTGTTTGTGTAGAGCAATGTTGTATTTAGAAGGAGGCAGAGGCCGAGGGGAATGGTCCTCCCCTGATCATATAAAACATAATAAAAAAATTAAATGAATTGCAAGTACATACACCAGTACATATGAAAAGTTTTTCTAATACTCAACTCTAAGAACCCCTTCGAATTTCAGATGGCAAAGCAAGCAAGTCATAAGAAGCTCACTGCAATTTTTGAAAAACACACAACTATTGAAAGGTATTGGGTCATAATTATGAAGTACCTTGAATACTTGGTTACCTAATTTCAAAATCTTAAATACTTCAAATTTAGTTTTAAGCAGTAATTACTTGTCTCTTCAATATAAAATATTTGACACACTTCACATCTTTATTAATAACTTCAAAGTCATTTAATTTATTTCCTTAAATATCTGCAATGCAAATAACTTATTATAGATTACTTAAAATTATTATCCATATATTTTCTAGATTTTTACTGAAGTCATTCACAAACAATAACCAATTTGCTCAAATGTCACAACTAAATAACTCAACCAGTAACAATAAATCATAGCAATCTCAATTTCTATTCAAATGAGCAAATTTACTTAAAACGCTTATCTGCCACAATCAAATGCGATGTGGAACTCATTGTCAGCTTCGCCAACTCAACAGAACAATTCGCAAAATACTCGCATGTGGAAAACTTATGAGATACAAAAGTGGTTAACCGCACGTTTAGCGGCAATATTGTTGTGCTACACGCTATCTTTGATCTCGCAATAGGACGTTTATGGACTTCACCTATGCAGCGGTCGTGGCTCGAACAGCCAATAACTGTCATTGCAGCAGAACTGATTGACAGCGTGGAAAGCCAAAACGCAACTGTAAGTCGCATTCTGGAAAATGAGTGATGTGTGTTGCCATTGCAGTCCAAAATTGTGGAGCTGGCAACGACTTCGCTCTGCTGCTTGCATTTGTCGCCGTTGCGAGCGTAGACTTTGTTGCAGCGTAGGTGGACAAGACAGAAATGTGTTGTGAGCACATATTTATAATTTGTGCAACATTTCTGACCCGTTTGGCATATGTACTCTGGCTCGCATGTCGTTTGCCTAGGAAAACTGAAAATGAAATGATTTTTCAAATCCGAAAAGCAGTGGGCACACATATCACATTTCAAAGTCAACAACATTTTCTGTGTTGGCAAATGTTTTCACAAATGTAATTTAATGGAAAAGTTTATGAATGCACATTTAAAGGCAATGCAGAATTCTCCATGAATGAACTTTAGTTTAAACTTTATTCCTTTAATAGCGTCTTAGCAATAAATAATCGTTTTAAATATTACCTTTTAAGCATTAAAGGTGCAAATGGTATGAAGTAGAATAGATACATTTAAGTAAAATTTAACCAATGTGCTTCATGTATAATAAAAAAAAATATAAAAATGTATATACTAAGGGTGCTGAAAAATATTTACGTATACCGCCTCCCAAAAAATATCCATTATGCTGGTCCAAGACACCATTTTCAGATAGATATATGTCAAAAACTTAATGCACTTCTGACCATTACTTGCCAAGATATAGAGCTGTTATAGAGCTGTTAAGCAATATAATATGTGTTGACACGAAAAGTTCTATCAACTATTTCTAGCTATAGTTGTGATGAAATCGATTAGATGTTATCATTTCAATTTTGATAATATATGTCGCAGTTTGACGAGGAGAGATTAAAATCCCTTAAAGATGGCAATGCTAGGAATGATAATGACTTACGCCCAAGGAAAATGATATAAAATAGCATAGTTACCTAACTTTACCCACCTCTGAATCTATAAATTTAATTGCCTCTGTATTTCTACCTCAATTGAAGTTGAGCGAACTTTATATTCAAACGAACGCGAACCACTGAACACTGTAAGTGTTCAAGTCCACACTGTACATATTCAAGTCCACAGAGGAGTCTCTTTACGTGGAGACTCCTTTCAATAAAAAGCAATAAAATGTGTTGGAATCTACATTTTATAATGCACATAGGATAATATTGTTGTTTAACTTGAAACCCGAAAAAAATGGAAAGTATTGTACAAGAATAGTAGTACGTTTGAGAAGTAATATCACATAGATAAAGTTAAAAGAAAACGGGGATGTTATTTCATTGAAGTAATGTTCCGTATCACTTTTCAATGATAACAATAAAGAACTTATATGAAGTGCAATTTGTGTACTTCCATACACGGTACATTCTTCCTACATGACTTCTACTTAGGCTTTTGAGAATATTTACTTGGAATTTTAGCCTATATAGGGATATTCTTCAGATGTGACCCTCAGCATCTAATTATCGTTCGTAAGACTTATACCGAAGTTCCTGAGAATATGTGTTTGAAATTGAGTAATTGAAGGTTTCTATAAATCGTATTATCAAAAAGGTGCAGAGATATTAGGGAAGCCATGTATACAAAATAATACAGAAGAAATAGGCAAATAAATCAGATTTATGTCCAAAATAAAACATCATCTTCCTTATAATTTTTATATTTATAAAAATTAAACATGAACATTCAATTTCAATCCCTTAATTTTATAAAATCTTATTTAGCTACCGATGCATTCTTTTTATAAGAATTTAAAAGCGCAAGTAACTGTGCCAATAAGGAGTAAAAGGATGGATGGAGTTATTATTATTATTATCATTTCTTAAATAAAACATAAATAGCTAATGGAATGGAATATAAGCATTTCTTCATAATAATGAAGGATTATTTAAATGTAACAATCGTTCTCATTTTTTGAAAATCAATAACATTGAATCACTTTAACTGAATTACTAATGTCAAATTCTATCTAAAAGAAAATCAAATATATAAAATATAATATATTAATACATTTAGAACATTCTTTAAAGAAAGTAAAACATATCGTTTATCGTTATGTCAACCAATTTAAATTTACCGGAACTGTATTACCACGAAACATCATACAAAGTAAGATTTTGTTTTATAGTTATTTTTTTAAAATATATCATATTCTAACATATTTTTAACTGAATAATATCGAAATTTTAGATTATAATTATATCTCTCCTAATTTTCGCGTCTATAACACTCTATCTTATTGCTGGTTTTCTGGGCACATATATACAGGAATTAAATTACGAAGGATTAGAAAATGTCTCAAATCCGATACTCGATTAGAAAGGCTGATATCGAATCAGGATGCAACACCAATCCAATTATTGTGACACCGGCCCCCAAGTTAGAAATAGGAGAATGTTGTAAAATCATGGTATGTTGCAATTTAAGATTACACAAATATTAGCAACAATTTTTTTTTTTTTTTTTGCAGCTTGTATGCTCTTTTGTGATTGGAGCTCCAGCAGTCGGAATTCTCATGCCTTACGCTATAATTACTTTTTTGGGTTTAAAATTTTAGCACATGGGTTTTCCGCGGCTGTATATTTTTACTAATTGGTATAGAAAACAAAATGAAGATATATGCATCCTAACTCATATATTTTTTAGTTTTATGAAAAATTGATTGTATGTACTCTAATGTGAATCTTAAGGTTGTGGTACTTTGACTGTGAAAAAATAAACTTCTTTAAATTAATAATATGTTTATAATAAATTATTGATTACAATAATTAACGAGGAAATGTACGCAAATAATGTACGCAACAATGATTTGCTAATGATTTATATCTAACAACACAAAAATTAAAGAAATAATTAACCAATTATAACTTGCTTAGCCGTCATTTATTTATATCGGAATGATAATAGAAGTCAAAAGTTTTGTTAAAATGAAAAATATTTAATTTTTTTTTTAATCTGGTAGGTAATTTCATTTATTTTAATGATTTCCGGCATAAGTTCGCCGTGGCTATGATTTAGATGGTCCATTCGATCAGGTCCCATGCTTCAAGAGTTAGTGGTATGTCGTCATAAACCAATGACTTGAAAGGCATTAAATCACACGAACAAGGGCGCCAGCTAACAGGACTATTTCTGAAACTAAAATTATTACCAAATTGATTTTGTTATAAATCGATTGTTAAGCACGCTGTATCACAAGTTACGCCATCTTTCGCCTTAGTGGAACCAAATGTCATCGATGTTTAACTGATTAATTTTTCGAAAAAAAAAGCTCAGTCAGCTCGACTCGATAACGCTCGTCATTCACCCCGTAATGGGAGCTCCTTCATCATATCCTTCATCTTGCGCTACCGCGCTTTCCACCAGCGGGTATCGAATCAAACACCTTTAAAGCACAATGATTAACTTACTGTATCCAGTTGATAGTACCAAGTGCCTTGAAATCATTGGTCACTGGATCATTTCACTGTCCTACTGTCCACTGTCCTTCACTGCAAAGGATCATATATCTTTCAAAGTAGTTTGTCCTACTCACCACTATCTAATCTCAAAATAATCACTAGCCGCACTAGGCGGTACGCAGATCTTGAACCAGTCATCGAATAATCACGAGGAATACATAAAATAGTTAGCGAGAAGGGTGGGACTCTGCAGAAACTCTCAGCTATTAAAGAGTAAAAATACCCAGATGTACTAACTCGGAAAAAATTCAATATAAGAATACTTCTTATTAACTCTCATCACTGTTGGTTATTATCTAAATTTCTGCACCATACAGAAGGACATACATGTTAAGAGATTTGTAGAGCATGATTTTCATTTTTCGCGGGAGAGTTTTATTTCTCATATCCCTAATAAACCCGAAGTAACATCAACTGGCAAGAATGATTCTTCGTTGAGTCTCTAGGCTAGTAGCTAAAGATTAATTTTTTTTCACAAAATATTCAGCAAATTTGGTTTGTTGACAGAAAATATATACTTTGTTTCTTTCTTATTAGCTGTGTATTTTATGTTGAACTAAATCCTACTAACAGTGGCGGTATATAGGCCAGCAATATCAATATCCTCGGAAAATGCAAGCAGCATCCCACTTGTGATACATTGTTCCAGTATGGTTCTCATTCTAAATCAAATCTGCTTCTTGGTTTATTGTTTTCAATAATACACCAAAGAATTTACATAAAAGGGAGTTATCGTACATAAAAGCTTGTTTGTTATCAAAGGGTTCAAAAATATTTTTCGCAGTGGACTTGATGGTGTGGCTCTACATCATTTTATATAGCCATTCAAGTTTTGCTGAAATACTAAAGTTATGTCTAACTTACAAAACAACGAGTGCCCTCAGTTATAGTGTCTGAATCGGCTTAGAAAAAGATACTGTATGGTAATTTGTTTTTTTGGATCGTTTCCAGGACTTAACGCACTTTAAATAACTGATATATCGTGGATTTTTCTGATCTGAAGTCACACAAATAGATACAATCAGTTGGTTTCACTTTTAGTACTATACATAGAATACATTTTATACAATTTCATATGCAATGTTTAAAAAACTGATCCGTCAGTGAATGACGCAGTTTGTAGAATCACATTTTTTACGTTGTCCAGCACTAAAAGAGACGATGACACCTAGCTGTCAGAAAGGCATCAAGTTACATATTTCATATTTCATTGTACTGTATGATATCAATAAGAGATATGGAAATAAAGTGATATTTAAACCCGTATGTTATGTGTTAACAGAGAAGTTACCACAGTGATATCTCCAAGTATTAAATATGCCTTAGATATATATCACCGTTGAATAAATTTATTAAAATTATCTACATAAGTGATTTAAGGTATAGCTGTTTTTTTAAACCATTTGGTTTATTACAATCTGTCGAGTATGAATAAGTAATATTTATTATATGCAGTAAAGTAAAGAAAGGTGCGTATAGATTAAACCCAGTTACATCTCCATATATACTTAAAATAAAATTGTTTGACAGTTAGGCAACTAAAATAAACTGTAATTAAACTTTTAAAATATTGAAATAAAAATTTTGCAGCAACCATACAACAAATAACTTGAGATATTAATGTCAAATTTTATGGATAAATAAATTATTATAAAATAAATATTTTCCAATAGAAACGAAATTTAAAAGCTGATATGCCGACCGATTTGAAACAAACTGACGAAGACTCCTTGTTTAGTGTAAGAGAAATTCTTTAAAATATTCGGATATATTTTAAATCTAATTTTCATTTCAGCTAGTCAATGTATCACTTCTACTCGTTGCTATTGTCCTATTATATGTATTTGCTGTTTTTTTTTGTCTAATTAAAGGAATTCTTTCTAAGCGAAGCTCTCGACATAATAAGGAACTAAAAAATTCTCTCTATATGTCTTTTTTACAAAACCCTACTTTCGACAATTTTCGCCGAAGAACAATTCGTGAGGAAGCAGTGGATATTGTTTGGGCGGTGAGCCATAAGTCAAATATAGATTATTTGAACTTCAATAATTTCTGACTTTTGGTAGGCTATTGGATTTGTAGTGACTGGCGCATTTCTAATAGCTTTAGTTGGAGTATCTATTTTCTTGATTAATATGCTGCCAAGTATTGTAGAGTTCGTTCATACTTCAAGTGAAAAAGGATATTATTGGTCGTTAGACGCATATGATATAAGCAAAGAGACAATATCAAAATGGTGGGACGAATTAAATGCAAAATTTAAAGAAGAAAAAACTGACTGAACTATTTAAAATGCACTACTTCTTTAAGAGATGTGTGACATATGTATAAATTGTCAAGGAGTCATTGAAAATTTTTTATCATATCACTGATTATTCTATTGCTAATATATTTGTTTAAAAAATTGTGAGAAATCATTATAATGCTTTCTGGAGACGATGTTTTTCTAAAAAATAATATAAATTTACTGTATAAAGACAAATTTTTTTATGAAAGATAATTGGAAAATTAAAAATTTAAAAATATATAATGAACCATTATTTCAATTAGTAAATGCAAGTGGCAACCGATCTCATTAAAAGACAGATCCCGCTCGATCCTCAAAACGTTTACATTGTAATAAAGAATTGCATAAAAAGCATTAACTTTTGGTTAATTTGAAAAATTAAATTTAAGAAACTATTCCTATTTCTTAAGTTTACCAAAACTTTTTAACAATTAATAACATTTTCAGGAGACACAGTTGAGTATACAGTAATTTAATTATAACTATCAATGGAAGCGAATAATACATTAAATTTTTATATTCTATTTTTTAGAATCTAATGCTATATATGTATTGTTTTTAACTTGATAAATATGCAGATAAGTCTAATTGCAAATATAATATAATAGAGCAGTATCTATGTTTATAGCTATATTGTTCTACTTTGCATTTTTCTCATTAATATTAAATAATTTAAAATTAAAAATATAATCAAAGTCGTGTATTCTTTTAATTCAAAAATATATTCCTCAGTAAATTGTGAATTGGTCAAAACTAAAAAAAAAATAATCGAAAATTTATTCCAAACATATGAATATGTAAAATTCTACTCAGACGAAATGCCTCGTAACGAATCAGATTTGGAGAGACAAGCTCGAGAGAGAAGTAAACGGGAATTTTGGACACACACGGTAAGTGCTTAAAATAAATATAATAGTGATATTCACGATTTCAAATAACGAGCTCTGCGATTATTAGTGTTATTTAAGATCTTTGGTAATCACCTCGGTAATTGGGGAACATAGCTATGATACAAAGTGACAATAACATAACACATTTTAGGAAGAGGTGGCCGATTTACATTATTGCTTTATTACCCTATAACTAAAATCGTGAATACTAGTAAAATATTTTAATTCTTTGAACCTTTGTACAAATATAAATAATAGAAACTACTAAGGTATGATAAACCTGATAATATTAATGTAGAAGTTTATTATGCTGTCTTTGAAGTAACTTGATAGTAATTAATCCAGGTAACATTATTAAAAAAACATGGATTTAGTATTAGATTTTCGAAAGATTTGTTTAACAATCCCAGAATTAAGGTAGAAGCACTTAATCTATATAACATAACTAAATAACTTTAGGTTATTATTAGATTTTCAAAGGCTTTATAAAGGATTATAAATCTAGAACTATATTTCGGAGAACCCGCTTACGATTTAATAAATGATATTAAGGTTTTTAGAAATCTAACTAGAATTGACAGCACAATATACAAAATTAAGCTAAAAAAAAAATAAATCCAAAATCTACTATTAAACTATTGAATACAAATCATATACCGATATCATATATTGTTCAGATGCTTCAACTTTTTTAAACTTTTATAGATAATACTTTATACCGTGGGGTTTTCAGCTGCTTTTGCAATTTTCCTTTACCTTTACTTATCATACAGACTTAAATATATTCACGAAGAGAACGTTCTGGAACGATTAAATAAGATCAGTCTTGAAACTAATGTCACTGAAACTATATAACTTGTCTATTTTTTGAATTTAGTTTGATCAAATAACGATAGATGATGGTAAGTTTATTTCAGAAAACAATATAAAAATTCATTATATATCAAAAGTTTATTAAAAATTTTTTTAAAGCTTTTGATCTAGCCTGTTACGGAATTGAATCATATCCTTTGATAATTTTATTATTTTATTGATATTTCTGTTTTATAAATGCAATTGGTTATATACTATAAGAGAAAGCGAATATAGGTAATTTAAAATTATTTTAATGAAAATCTATATAAATAGAAAGAAACTAATCTATATATTTTGATATAATCTTTCATTTACAATATTGTTTTGATTATTAATTATTATTATTATTATTTATTTATTTTTCAATCCTTAATGTATCTGTGATACAATAAATTAATAATTTTATTATTACTTTGTAAATTATTGTTGTTAGTATTAAATGATTTCAATCTTTCTTTTTCGCGAATCTTGGCGAACTATTAGACTTCCTTCTGAATAGCATTATAAACTTTGCCAAAGGTTCTAAATTGTTCTAGCCCTTAAATTTTTAATTATACGGTAACACAATCGGTCTATAGCCCTAAATGCGTCCCTTGACACATCCGGTATAACCTAATCTAACCTAAATGATTTCAATTAAAAAGCATGATCAAAGTTGTCTATGATTTTTATTCAGTAATATATTACTCAAAAATTTTAATAAACATATATAAATATTTAATATTGTATTTAGTCCAAATGTCTTATGAAAGACTTGATTCAGAGAGAGGAGAGCGCTATAGTCGACTATCAACAACACACAAAGTTAGTACTGATAATAATTTATGATATCTACTATCGAGCTCTTTGCTTTTTCAGTGGTATTTACGATCTCTGGTAACGACTTCGGTAATTGGGCAACATAACTGCAATGTAAAGGAGCACCAACGGAATACATTTCTAGTACATGTTGCTTTTTTGCGATATTGTTCTGTCCTATCATTAAGCTCGTTACCAAAAATCGCGAATATCCGTGAAAAAATTTTTATGCCCTGAACATTTTTACAATCATAAATTGTCGGACGAAGTCAAGTATAATAAAACTGATAATATCAATGTAGATGTTCCTTTGAAATAACCCGAGAGTATTTAATTCAGGTAACATTATTAAAAAACATAGACTTTTTATTGGATTTTTGAAAGGTTATCTTAAACCCAGAACTGAATAAAGGACTTTCTTCTTTTATAAATTACTTTACTAAGTATCTAACTAAACATGACATCAGATAAATGTAATTATGACTATAATATTAGGAATAATCTTATTAAATATAAGAGCACAACTAAGCCGAAGGGTATTTATCTAAAATGGTCTGCTATTTGGAATTTGTATAAAATAACCATCAAATAATTTTTTATTTTACTGAATATACAATAGTTCGTATATATCATATATAATTTACAACTGTGGTTTCCAACTTTTTTAGATATTATTTTTTGCCGTGGGCCTCTCAGCTGCTTTGGGTATTTTCCTTTTTGTTTATTTATCAAACAATATAACACTTCTAAAGGAAAAGGAGGCTCTGAATCGCTTTAACGAGATCAGTCTTAAGTCTAAAGATCATGACATTAAAACTCTCATATAACAAGTTTATTTTTTAAATTTGATGGTAAGTTTATTCCAGGAAATAATCAAATATATAAAAATTCTGTAAATGTTGGAGATTTGATTTGAGAATTTTTTTATAAAATGTTTATCTATATAGCTTATCACGAAACGGAATCATGACTCTTATCCATTGGTTATTTTAATATTTTGTAATGTAATGTGTTTTATAAATTTAATTGGTTATATACTAAAGGAGGAAACGGATGCAGGTAATTTGAAAATATTTTAATATGAAAATCTAATACAAGCAAACTGATATATATATTTTGATGTATCTTATATAAAATATTTTGAGATTAATACTATTTAATACAATTTTTTTTAACCCTGTGTATATTTATAATCGAATAAATTCTATCTTATGTTAGAGTTCACTAACTGCATTGACCTGGCCATTCCAGATTAAAATTCATAAACTCAGTAATGACAGATATATCCATGATGGTACTAGATTAAAGTCATTAAAGTCAATAATGACAGAGAGATCCACTACGATTCCAGATTAGGTTTTTTAAAAACCAATTAATGAAAGTACTTCTTACTTTATATGTGATGTTATTTAAGAATTTTAAGGGATCCAATATTAAACAAATTTTAGCTGATTAATGCTGTTAGCTCTTATGAATTTTAGTAGATTTTTTGGGATAACCAAAAAGAGGGATAGTAGTTACTGTACAACAAAGGAATGTTTCAAAGTTTCTGTAACTTTCGGTTCCATACTCCTGCTGCCATCGTTACTGCTGGTAGTAGCTATTTTGCTACTTAGTCCTTTTAATGAGGAAAAAATTTTTCGAAATTGATTAACTCTGGATGCATTCCTTTATTGTTTCCATACATTTGCTTCTTTCATTTTCAATAGTTTTTTTTTAAATAATCTAGATATGGAGATAATTTGTGATAGTTATTTACTTTAAACATTGTCTTAAACACTTGGTTCCTTGCACTCCATGATATTAACTTTGGAATCTTTGAATTAATTAACTATTAATCACTATTAGTACTATTCAGTTATTTAGTCTGTTTAATTATGCGTATAATTACTTCATTATATGATGTCAAGAACCAATTTTATTTTAGGGTAATAGGAATATGTTTTATTCAAGTACATTGTTCTTTTCTATACTACATCTACCTTTTATATATATTCTTTCAGATTATATTTTGTGCATTTCATTGGTTATTTTTTAGTTCCGAGCTTCATGGCATCGCTTCTTCCAATACCGTATTTTATTTTATTATCACTTTGTATAAATTAATATAATCTTGTATTCTTACCGGAATTAATAAAATGTTTAAAATTACATATTAAAAAAAAATAATTGTCTTTTGAATGTTGCGTTTACTCTCATATAAGTACTATTAAAATAATATTTAATATATAATTATGCACTATATCCTCTACGTCATATATCTTAAAGACGTTTCGCATAATATCACGCCCATATAAACAAATAACGGTTAAATTAATTACATTTAAATAAAGTCTCAACAAAATTTCATTAATGTTCAGTAGAGTAAAATTATTGTTATCAACAACACAGTGAAAGGGTATCTTAGCAATTATCGAGTAAAATATTATTAAACAAATAAACAAGAAGCAAGTAAGATCAACAAAATTGTAGCAAATACTGATTAAGAAACAAGACCAGTGGTACATTGTAATCTGCCATCACTGTGAAGCCTTCAAACGATATTTAATCAAACAATGCTGTTGAGCTGAGCTGTTACCAAATACTGACAAAGCCCATTGCCACCGTACGGTGCAACAAAAGCAATCAATTTTAACATTAACGTTAACACGTTATAACAACTTTCGACATTCGATCAAATCGTAAGTACGAGTACTTCCAGAGTTGTAGTCAAGATATCGGCGAGAAAAGAAAGGAACACCAAGTCCAGACCAATTTCGATATGAAGTATTATTTGCCTACGTCACTGTTTATATGATATTAACTGACTGACATACATATGAGCGACACTATCGACACTAACATCATCATCATCATCATTATCATTATCTCCAACACCAGCATCAAGGTAAACACTAACGTTCACAGCAGTAATTTTTGAACCACTTTTTCGACTAACATAAACGTGTTCAATTAATTTAAAACCTCATCAGTGTACAAGCCGAGATGATCTCAATCATTTACGCAAACAAATCTTTTAATAATCTTCAAAATATACAGGAGAAGAAGAAGCAAGGCAGAAGAAGAAGAAGCAAGTTTATGCGGTACATTTAAGTTGCGATCATGTCGAGCATAAAAAACTGTAAAAATATAATATCGTCATTATCAGATACCAAAGTTAACACACGCTTTCAATTAAATTACAGCCACAGCAGCAACAACAATGTTGCCAACATGCGCAACCTAAAGCCCAGAAACGATGGCGTCCAACATAGGCGCATTTGTGTATACCATGAGCTGCCAAATTGCCAAGTTGCCAACATTTATGCAGCAATAAAACTGAAAAGTTTGTAGTTCTGACCGAGATCAGCCGGCGAGCGAAATTTCCTCAAGCTAAATTTGCGCTGTGTCTTGCGCAGTAGGTGCACACGGCACAACACAGTCCGTGTTAGACCGACCGTCCGACAAATGGACGACGGACTCATGATGTACGAAATTTCATATTGTGCCCACATGTATTTTTAAATTGTAAATTTCTTATTATTTCTGTATAATTTTTTTTTAAATAAATATTTTGGGGCTCTTTTGGATTTTTTTGGGTTTTTTTTTTGTTAATGATGCCATGTTGCTCATTATTTGCACAATTCGCGAATGTGTGGCATCGCTGCTGTTACTGTTGTGTGCATCGCTGCATTGATGCATTGCTGCAAGTGCAGTTCACTGTTGCGGTATTAAATTTATAATAATTGCTTTATTTCAATTTGGCTGCTTCGGAGTGCCGTTCGTCGTGATGACAAGTCGCAAACGTGCTGATTTACGATTCTTCGCAAATGTAAAAATTAAGATTTTTTTTCACCAAAATTTATTGCAATTTTTTTTCCTCCACATTTCATTGAAATGAATTTCTTTCTGCGGCAAAAATATATTTTTCGTTGCTAGTCTGTCTTCAAAAGCAGCAGCAACAACAACAGCAGCAGCAGCAGCCTAAGCGGCAGCAGATGTTGCAAATGTTTTGCGGCAATATAAATTAATGTATATTTCATTTTTTGTAATTTGATGTCTATTAAGGAAAAAAAATTGTATGCTTTATGAAACGCAAAATTTGGGCAATTGTTGCCGACCACATCTCAGAAGAAAAAAAAAACAATCCAAAGTTTGAAATCCCACACACATGCGCTGCAAATAAATTGAAAATTATGAAAAGGAATTCATAATTCGCGCAAAGCTTTTATTCGTAAGGAAAGGATCGCCCACAAAACGAGTACTGATGAAAATAAACGATTACTTCTCTGGACAATTTGAGTACTTCAACCACTAATTCAGTAACGAAGTATCAAAATAATATATTTTATGTAACAAAATAGCAAGAATAGAAACTAAAAGTATTTTTTGAGCTTTAAGTTTTCTGAACATAGCTAAACCCCGATCCAAGTCAGTTTGTTAGGTATCTAAGGAAGGAACGAATCCTCTTCAAGTAACTAAGAAAGTCATTTTGATTGCACATTCCTCCTCATAGAAGTCCTCATAGAAGAATGATCATATTAAAGCCCGCCGGATGTATTGATGGAAGCAAGTATGTGACTAATACTAATGTTGGAAATATCGCCAAGTATGTTAAAGAACTCGTCACCCAAAAGTTTAAACTTGGACATGGACACAACAAATACTCTGGAGTATTTTCTTCGAACATAAGTAGACATGTAGTAGTACAGAAGATGTTACAAGCCAGGCCGCACCATATTTTATTATACAACTTACTGCCAGTGGTGTCTATATATCTATTAGAAAAATATTGTATGGCAAAGTGTAAAACTATAAAAAAATTATTGTATGTATGTTACGTATTCTACTAGATTGATAAAGTCAAAAAATAACTATTTTATTGACTAACCAAGTGATCAGTTAAGAACTAATTTCAAATAGCACCATCATAGCTACAAGTCAAAGGTGAAAGTAAAAAATATCTCTTATCTTCCCAAAAAATCACTATGCACTAGAAAGTATCAAAATACTATAGGTCCCCTCTTCCACAAGTACCTCTCCAATATTACAATTAATGAAATTAAAGACATTGCATATTTTATCATCAAATTCCTTGCCCGTTTGAAGGTTTATTGTTCGGTACAAAGTATTTCTCCAGTTCATGGAAATAAGTGTCTGTCTAACATCCAGACACTATTGACCAATATTAATATCAATTATTAGTATAATAATTAAATTATTAGTAATTAAAGCAATTAAAAAATTAGTAATTAAAAATGATTAGTAATTAAATAAAATCAAATTTTTAATTAAAGTTACCCAATATCTGTAATATATTTTTCACATCACTAGAACTCTTACTTAGTTCTTTCATCTTTTTTAATATTCAATATGTGAATATTAACAATTTTTTTAAGAGTTTTGAAATTAAATCACATCTGGACTCAGTTGCCTTCTTGCTGGGAGCAAATTTAAAAACGAATCAAAGCGAAAGATGAGAACCAACAGAAACGCAAATATAATAATTCGTGAATGATAACTTCCTTCCCAATTATTCATTAAAGTATGTCAATTTATTTTGCGGCATTTTTGTGAAATCCACAGCCACACACGCTGGGAGGCAATCGAAATTACATGCACACATCCACATCCACAACCACGCATCATCCAACTCTCTTGGCACTGTTCAGATACAAGTGAAAGAATCTTTCGCTATTACAAAGTAGAAATCAAGTTAAATCAACAGAACAAAGTAATTTCGTTTGGAGCTTAGAGCGAAATTATATGAGGAAGTAAGGTGAAATGTGAAATTAGCTTAGCCTTAATTGAGCACAGACATATGCTGTGCGATCGTTTAGCATGGCTATTGCTGAAAAGAGTTCCATAAGAGTTGTGGTCACCTTTGATTAATTTTGTAGTGTTATGAAATTAGGCCGACATGCCAACCAATGAGATACAATTTTTTTTCATCTCAATTTTTGTTTAGCTTAATTTAGTTTTTACAATTTTTAGTAGTCTTTTTTTTAAATCTATTTTTTTCCATTTTTTTTTTTATTTTTTTCACATATTTGAATTCCAATTCAAACCCCATGTAATGACATACAAACCGTAATTATTTTAAATTTCCAACTATTTTATTTTTATTTCGTTAAGTTTAGCGCTACATAACTAGCGAAAAGCCAGTAATGAAACCCAAGTTAAAGCATATAAAAAAGGTCATTCCACCACAAATGGAGGTCTACAATTAGGTTTCATTGTCTGGCTCGGAGATGACTGTAATTACATTTCTGTGTAGAAGCGTGAAATGCTTTACAGTTGCTGTAAGAATCTAGTTTTTTATGTTACTTTTAAATCAGTAGCATAACGGGTCATCAAATCTAATCTACATCATTAGTATCTAGAACGATAAAGTGTATCTTTTTATGAACTGCCTCAACAGCGCGCACTTGCCGTAATTCAATGGTTAAAATGTTGCCACAGTAGTTTTTTTTTTTTGTCTTCACTTAAATGTTGGAAAACGTCGAAGTGGCAGTTCGAACGTGACATTGAACAAAGACATTAATTGTACTAATGAAATTTTCCAATAATCAAAATAACAACAACAACAACATCAGCAACAACAGCAACTACTCCATAAAGAAAATAGAAAATTGTCGGTGGTTTGCGCCACAGTAGCAACATTTTACCAACAATGTGACGCTGATGAGCTTAACAAGTCTGCAATTGAAAAAATTTGTTTGCATTTGTTTTTGTATGAAACAATTGTGTCATGCTAAGTGCGGAGGCTGTGGATGAGCGACATTTGCACAACAATCAACGTAACAGAAATAACAAATCCAACAATAACAAAAACTACGGCGAGCCGTAACTAAATGTACACAATGTTGTTGATATTGCAGAGCAGCAATAGGTAATAGCAGGAGCAGCAGTGGCAGCAGTAGCAGCACTGGAACCAACAGCAACAGCATCAACCTCATCAGTAGCAACAATAAAAGACAGCAACTTGCAACTTCTTTAAACGAAATGAAAAAGAAGAAGTCAATACAAAAACAACAAAACGTATCCACTCAGCCAAAAAACAAGAAGAAGAATCAACAACCACTACTGGAAAAGTCTCTTCCATACGACCAACACAGTTTGTGCACCTTTGTTAATTCAATCA